GGCGTGCGCGCGGGGGGGGGGGGGGAGAGAAGGAGGAGGAGGAGATTGGATTTATACCCCGCTCTTCACTACCCAAAGGTGTCTCAGAGCGGCTTACAAACTCCTTCCCCTTCCCCTCCCCACGACAGACACCCTCTGAGGTAGGTGGGGCTGAGAGAGCTCTGACAGAAACGGCTCTTTTTCAAAAACAGCTCTTGTCAGAACTACGGCTTGCCCAAGGTCATCCGGCAGCTGCATGTGGAGGAGTGGGGGAATCAAACCCGGTTCTCCCAGATTAGAGTCCGCGCACCTAACCACTACACCAAACTGGCTGTTGGGGGGGGCAGTTTTCCCACACCCAGACAAAGTCACTGGCCAGAGTCTGCGATGCAGTTTCCCGTAACAACCGCTGCGAAAGGAAAAAACCCAACTTCTTCCCAAACCTCCTACCTGAGGCATCTCATAAGGAACCACAACGCTGTGGCGCTTGGTGATCCTGTCAGAGAAGTACTGGGCGTTTTGGTTCCCTTCGACGCGGATCAGGTGCTCAGCAGGGACTCCGTCTGTCAGAAGACATATACGGAGGGGGGGGGGGGGGGGAGATGAAGATAGGGGGTATTTGGGTATTTGCAGGACTTCATTCCATCATATCTGATAACTTTATCCTCAGTCAAGACTCATGGGTCACTCTAAGAATGTCTCCTCCGAGCATGCAGAGAGAGCTCGTTCTACATCCAGCAAGAACCCATAACTAAATCCATGGACTTGAGGTCAGAGGTGGTCTTAATGTCCCCCGCCTCCCGCCTACCCTGTTGCGTGCGACTTGGCTCACTTTTTTGAGTCATCTATACATCTCCTGCGGGTAACTTGGGATAGACTGAGGTGACATCCAGGTCTGCTGCCACCCCCTGCTTGTGGTACACTCTAATATGGTTAGTGTCAGGGATATGGAGAAACGAGGGCAGGGGGTGTATGGATACTCTCCGTCACACCAAAGCTCAGCTCAAGCACACGAACCATAATGCCCCTAAACATGTGCAGAGTTCTTTACTTTCACCACTAAAGACCCACAGCCAGAAATCCAGGACTGGGCTCGAGGTACAGATTTGCTCCCTCTAAGCTACGGAGTCCTGTGAGCAAAACTTCTACTTTGTGAGCGACTGCCATTAAAGTTGTGAGCGAGCGATTGGGCTGCTGCTGCATGAATCAGTCTGCCTCTGGAGCCCTCCTCCCTGAGCTGAGACAAAAATGGGTGAGCCGGAGGCTAAAAAACTGTGAGCTGGCTCACACTCACTCAGCTTAGAGGAAACACTGGTACGGAATGCAGCTTAAGGATTCGGTCCCCCTCCCCCTTCTAGAAGTTCTGCAAGGCGACCGAGGATCTCCTGCCTCCTCTCTAGCTGCAAGAGGAGACGCGGCGATCCCACTCACCTTCGCTGTACTCCGGCGCACGCTCGTGGTGCGGGCAGCGCTTCACCACCTCGGCCACATGCTCCGACTTCTTGTAGACGGCCGTGGCCCGGATGACTGAGCCGGGGGGTGGCGAGGTAGACAGCTTCACCAGAACGGGGCAAGTCTTTCCGAGCTGACAGAACAGCTTGTTCAATTGTTTTGAATACTGCGAGAAACATAAGAACATAAAAGATGCCAATGTTGGA